ATTCTTTCATTTACTAGATGCACGAAGAAGTATAAACACAAAAACCGTCACTTAACAACGTGTCTCATCACGTTCACAGTCACACACCGCGATATTCCAACGGCTACGGGTCCGCGGTGATGTCATAAAGTAGTGGGGACTCGGTTCACGCACGACAACGTTGCTGGTATAGGGATCTGGCTATCCTATGTTATATAACGGTCCTTGACAATAGTTTTTATCTCTCAGATAAATTTGGACTTCTGCGTTTCCTCTTTTTTATGTTTATCTAGAATTACTCTGCGTATTATTCAACGAATGTCACGCTCATGAACATTAACCTAACTGCGCTCAGCTGATGGGCCAATATTAATATCTCTCTATATTACGGTAAATTCAATCTGCCATTCTTTTTACTGCCCTACAATCATCTCTGTGTACGCAACGTTGCCATTTATATTTTGGTTGCAGAATATAATTCATTTTTTTCATATTCATTAACATTGATGCTGCTGAATATATTTCATTAGCTGGAAGTTTCCTTAATGAATAAAACACTTTGTCTGTTATTCTATGACCATTTAGCTGCGGGTGTATGATTTACATAGAAGATGAAATATATAAAACCACAACCTGACAACGTTTTCGTTTTAATACAATGATGTTTCTGAGAATTTAGTGCCTACTATTATGGAATTTTACTTTGTCATTTATCCAGTCTGTTTTGCCAAATCACCATGGACGGATATAGCATTCAACAACACGTGCAAATAATAAAAATTGTTTTATCAAAATGGGTGTTCCGTTCGAGAAACGTACCGCGTGCTTCGCCATAATCGAGAGAACCGAGAGAACTGAAATGTGGTGGGTAAATTTGAGTCCACTGGTACGTCGGCGAAACGCAAGATATGCCGAAAACATCGCCGCTGTCTGTGAGAGTGTGCAGGAGAATCCAGGCTGTTCATTTCGCGTCGCTCACAAGGACTAGACCTTTCGTAAAACACATCTTGGCGAATTTTGTTTCGTGACTTGGGCCTGCACCCATACAAAATTCAATTGACCCAAGAACTGAGGGTAAATAACCTTAGACAACGTGTGTTCCTTTATGGGCTCTGGAACATCTGGCAACTGATCCTAATTTTCATTGAAAAATCATCTTCAGCGATGAGGCCCATTCCTGGATGAATGGGTACGTGAAAAAACAAAGTTGTCGAATTTGGAACAACAATGAGATGTAAAAGCGTCCAATGCATCCCAAAAAAGTCACTGTTTGGTGTGGATTGAGGGCTGGCGGCATCATCGGTCCAGGACGTGCTAAGTGTCACACAGCTCAAGCCACATTGTATATTTTGGACGACCGATTTGAGAGCATGGTCATCTCACGTGAACTGGCCACAGAGATCGTGCGATTTTATCCCATAAGACTTCATCTTGTGAGGTTTTCACAAGTCGCAGGTGTATGCGAATAAGTTACAAATCCCAGCGGTTCTCAAAGCCAACATAACCTATGCCATCTGACAAATTCGGCCTGATTTATGCGCCAGAGTCATGGAAAATTGGACTTTCCAGATATGCTCCACCCAGAGAAACCCTGGCGGACATTTAAACGATGATTCCATACATAATGGCATCAATAGGTCTTTTAAACGAATGAAAAAATTTCGTTGATATATTACACACACTTTGTTTTAATCAATTTGAAGATAGGAATGTACACCTTGTAAAAGGTTCTACATGTGATCTTAAGAACCTCTATATAGTCATTACCTGACTACCAATAATACCCTTCTGGTAGGGCATGATGAATCCCTTGATCCCCAAATGTTTATCATATACATATTGAGAAGAGGATAATTTAGCAAGAATGAGGTCAGGAAGCTTCAAAGAAGGTGATGTATCTGTTTAAAAAATCTGTTCAAAATCTGTTTTCCCACTAACCAGCTGTCGCAACCCTATGAAAGACAAATCTCAGAAATAGGAACTTGTGCGGGCTAAAGATTAACGGGGTCTTACCTTTTAACGTGTGATTTCTAGCACGGGTTGGACGATAGCAAGTAAAAATCGATCGTTCAGACTAGGGCCTAAAACACCGACCAACACGGCAGTCAATTCGAGTGACTGAACAAAGCACCCACGTTGAACCGCCTGGCTACCGACTGTATTGTAGCTTAATTACCACAAATGATGAATAGGCAAGAAAGTTAACGAAATTGGAATCATTAGGATATTTGTTTTTTGGGGAAATGGGATTTATAACCCACTGACAAACGTTACCCACATCAATACTTTACTTGAATATATTTTAAAAAACCTTATATTTCTATTCCGGAAGCATCCTATTAAGTCAAACAGATACATAAAAGACATAAAACCAGGTGCAAGAGCAGCCAGTGGTCGAATGGAGTACTACTGGGAATTGAATAGAACTCTGAGACAATTTGTATTGTTTTTTCAAGAATTGGGTAATCAAGTGCCTGATGTTTTAGTATTGTGAGTTCATATTTTGCACTGACAGACAGGTATTGTTTTGTGTTTGTCTAAACTGACATTTGAATCACAACATTTTGGTCATCAATTTATTCAAAAAAGTCACAAATTTAAAATATCACACCTTTCTCTTACTCTTCTTTTTATTGCCTTCTGTGCGTGATTTTCTTTTCTTCTCATTGTCTTCTGTTTGCATATTCTCCAATTCATCAAGTGGTGGAACACTGAATCCTTCGATAAATGGAAAAACAAGCATCAAAACAAACTTTTCATGTTGGACGTTGTCACAATTTAGACTCAACCTCACTTTCACTGGGTCAAATGTGTGAAGAATTATGTTGCCAGCTTTTTGAGTTTGATCCTAAAAGAAAAAAAAAATGTAGTGCATGATGATTTGAATGAAAATTATGAACCTCTTCATTGTATTCAAAGATATTAGATGTTTCTCCTTTTTGTGACAAAAACAATGTACATTCCAAGCCATATTTTGGTATTAAAATCTGAAGAGCATTTTTTCTTACATACAAGATATAACCTTCTTCGTCTTGCAATTTTCCTTTGAAGAAAAGCTAAAAAAAAGACAACTAGTTTTTGAAATTTTGACGATAAAGATTCTTACATGAGTATTGAAGGCAACAGAAGCTCTTCCTGCATACTGGGCCATTCGATTTCGATAATTCAAATTCTGGCACAAATTACTAGTTTTTTGTTTGTCAAGCAAATCAGGATAAGTAGAATCTGATCCGCAAGTCACTGCCAATAACCTGAAAGGTTACAAAAATTATTTTCATCAGATTTGAACAGGATATTTCATTGTTACCTCATACAATGGTGCTTACATAGGTCAAAAACAGTTTGAATTTGTTCAAATAAACAAGCCATTTTTTCAAGCTGATCCCACTATTGCTATCTTGGAAATGGTAAGATCCACACGGTCGGGTTAATTGGATGAAAGTTTTCTATTTTGGGGAGCTATAATAATGTCTTTTCAGATCGAGAATATCAATGGTCGTTTTTAAAATATTCGTCAAAAACTAGAATTTGCAAATTTCTTTTTTTGGTTCTGCCGCATCCGTTTTGAGTGGTATAAAAAAAGCAGAGGAACTTTCCATACTGTTTCATATTTGCCATAATCTGATATAAACCAATTTGCGATGCGAAACAGTATTGAAAGTTCCTCTGCTTTTTTTATATCACTCGAAATGGAGGCGGCAGAGCCAAAAAAACGAATTTCGCAAATTCTAGTTTTTGGCGAATATTTTAAAAACAAGCACTGGTATTCTCAATCTGAAATGAGATTATTCTAGTTCCCCAAATTAGGAAAGTTTTGTCCAATTTAACCGACTTTGTAGGTCTTATCGTTTCCAAGATATCAATAGCGTCATAAAAAACGGCCTGTTTATTTTGTGTGCCATACCAAGAGTATTGAAATGAATCGAGTTTTATTAATTTTTTCGAATAAAGATACATTTTAAAATGATTACCTATGTACAATAATGTCTGCATATCTCCTGATGGGTGAAGTGAAGTGAGTATAAAGAGGCACAGCCAGGCCGTAATGGAAGTATTCCTCTTTCTGCAAGGTGCCACTGGCAAAATAGACAGCTTGGAGCATGCATCGTGTTGCAAGAATTCGCAGCATCGTATTGAAATACGGATTATCAATCCTAACAGCTTCATCTAAGGACTTAGCAAGATTTTTGCCAGAGTTGGTATGTATGTCGAAGCCCTACAAACATGCGAATTGAGTTTGTGCCTTTATCAATGTGCCATTCTCAGTGGAAAGGGCGAAAGGTACTAGCAAACTAAATGTCCATGCTTACTTATAGTTATATTAGGTTAAAAAAAATTACAAATATGTTCAAAGGAAATATGAATTGCCAATTTCACTTGCATACTCTCAACTTAGGTTTATCACATATTAAGCATGGAGATCACGGCACTTCAACAATCATTATCGGTGGTGTATATATTCCTACTTCTTCTGTATTGAATACTCAAATGAAAAATGCCGCTACCGTTGATTATATTTTAGAAAAATACTGTACTGGCAAGATTATCCTTTGTGGTGACTATAATATACCTGACGCATTTTGGTTTAATGGAGAGCTTGGTCTGAATGCTTTTTTGTCCAGAAAACTCACCTGCACTAGCTTTATTACATTCATTTAGTTTCTATAATTTATATCAAAATGTTTACTTAGATTTAATTTTTTCATCATTCATAAATATGTCTGTTCAAAATCCATCGGACCCAATTTTTCAAAACACATTACATCATTCTTCGGTATGTTTTCATTTAAAAAATGATACAAAGAAATATCTAAAATATGATGAATACTTTTATGGAATATGGGATCCCGAAATACTGAAGAATGAAGATTTAAATACAAATTTTTACAATATTCTCTATACAGCGCTGGAGTACTATGTTCCACTAAAAAAATATAAAGCTTCTACTTTCCCAATATGGTTCAATTCTGAGCTGAAAAAATTAGTTTTCAAGAAGAAATAGGTTCAAAGAGAATACAAAAATGGAAATTTTTATAAATATGAAGAATTTTGTTATTTGAGAGATAAGTGCAAAGCTTTGAGAAACACTTGCCATCAAGTATACATAAATAAAATAGAGAATAACATCAACAATAATCCTAGAAGCTTCTGGAATTATATTAATAATAAAAAAATCACACTCCTTACCATCTAAAATGTATTATGATGACTCTGTCAGTGAAAATAGTAATGATATTGTAAATCTTTTTGCAGAATATTTCTCATCAGTCTACAGTGATGAAACGGTTAACCAAATTTCAGAATATTAATTTAGTAAGACGGTTGATATATGTAGTTATAGCGTTATAGTTATATAAAGAAATAATCGATCTAGTCATGTCATTACCTGGGAAATTGTCTACAGGTCCTGATGGAATCCCGCTATTTCTAATCAAAAAATGTATTTTCACCCTTGTAAAACCGATTCACATGATATTCAATATTTCCTTGAAATCGTCGATCTTTCCAGATTATTGGAAAAACAGTTTTTTAAAACCTATCTATAAAAGTGGATCACATAATGATATAAAAAATTATCGAGCAGTCTGTAATCAATCAGTATTACCCAAATTGTTAGACTGCCTAATTACAGAAAAGCTAACATGGGATTGTAGACATATACCCATTAATCAACAACATGAATTCAGTAGTGGTAGATCTACCAGCACAAATCTGCTCATTTATCAACACTGTATAATAAATGCCTTCGAAAATAGACACCAGGTGGATTCTATTTACACAGATTTTTCAAAGGCATTTGACCGAGTACACCACAATTTGTTGTTGCATAAACTAAACGCTTTGGGTATTCAAGAAAACATTCTGAAATGGATTGAAAATTATATAGCCTGCAAAGTACAAATTGTAAAATATGGTAACTCAGTATCTTCCTCAATCACAATTTCATTTGTGAATGACTTGAAAGATGTTATTCTTTATAGTGAATTTCTTTCGTTTGCTGATGACCTGAAGATGTTTAAAGTTACTCATGACTGATACAAAATTATTACAGTACAATTTATCTAACTTTGTTCGCTGGTGTGATATAAATTTACTGCAATTAAATATAGACAAATGTCAAAAATTTACTTCTTTTTGAAACAAAAATCCATTTAACTGGCCATATAAAATCAATCAATCAGAACTGAAAACAACAAACACAATCAGAGATTTAGGAATCACTCTCGACCCAAAAAGTCATTTAAACCCCATATTGCAAATATTACTTCTAAAGCGTTAAAAATGTTAGGTTTCATTCTTAGATCTGCAAATTAATTATCTCTCGCTTCAATAAAAATCATATATTGTTCAATTGTCAGATCAATAATCGAAATAAGTGAAAAGAGAACATATGCACAAATCAAGATAAATTTAAATTTTCCTAATATTCTGATACTCACAAGATGTTTTCCAGCTTTCACTAATGGATCAAAATTAGAGTTAGGTGGAGTAGGGTGTCTCCTGAGCATCGAACATTCGGGAAAATCTTCTAGTATCTTCTCGGCAACACTAATATTTGCCAACAACATGAATTCTTCAACCATTGAATTGGTTTCAAACAATTTTTTTACTTCCACATCAAGTGGTTCCATGGTTTCAGAGTCCATTTGGATTTTGACTTCTGGAGATGCCAAAACCAATGCCCTAAAATTAAAAAGCAAATGTTATTTTTTCAATATTTCACAAATTTATTTTGAAACATTTGTTTTTTCTGAGAAAACGTATATTGTCAGATCCAGAATTTCATCAAAAATATTCGTTGATATGAATTAAAGAACATACCCTTTTTCTAACCGCCTTTTTTTTAGTATTTTGGCCAGCATATTTAGATATCTTAAAGATTCTGCTATACTATCTGTCTTGCTTTTGTCGTCAATAATGATTTGAGCCTCTTCGTATGTCATGGCCGCCTTAGATCTAATTATACTTTTGTGAAACCTGGTATTCAAAATATTGGCCTTCATGTCCATCTCCCAAATACAAGAAAATGCGAAACGCTCCTCTCCACCCCTGAGAGAACACAAATTGGAACTCAAAAGTTCTGGCACCTAGAAATATATATGTTTACAAGCTATAAGCAAGCTTTGAAAATCTCACCATATCGATTCTTTTATTCACTAAATATACAGTTGTGGCTCGAGAAGCAGCTTCAATATCGAGAGCAGTGCCAGGCCGAATGAAATGTGATACGTCAGCAATATGGACCCCAACTTCCAATTTATTGTCTGTTATAGGACGACAATGCAATGCATCATCAATATCTGTACATCCTGGAGGATCAACTGAACAAATGTCAATATGTCTGAGGTCCACACGTCGTTTCTCATCCTGAAATAAATAAGATGGTAAGTAAAATAGTTTGAAACAAGAAGGGTTATCGCTAGGTGGTTCAACTTTATGTTGTCTGTCTGTTATGTTGCCTGTGTTCCTGATCTTGTCTTCAATTGAGGATTGTAAAACGCTTGCCAGACACAAATAAATTCCAGCAGGTTGAAAATTGAAAAAGTTGTAAGTGTTGGTTGCTTCACACTCTCTAGCAAGCAAGAACCCTGACATGATCCAAAATATTGATTTCAGAAAAACTTTTGACTGGATGAATACACCACATAATTAATATATTCAGCATGTTCAATTGTGATCGATTTAGATGTGATATAATTGATCCATCATGGTCAAAAGTTATTGTTATAAAAAAAAACAAATATTGTGTTGAAATTGTAGAGTAGTTTTAGGTCGAAATATAATAACACCATTTTTTTGATAATACTATCTGTTCTTGTGGATTATGGAAAAAGTTCCTCATTTAAAAATTGGAAAAAGTTTGAGTGTCTGAAGTTGTAGTTAACTGTCACATACCCTCCAGAAAAACGCCATATGAAACTATAATGGCACGGTAAACAGATTTGATAATGGTGAATCCCTGTTAATTTGAATTTGTTTTCAGTTCATTATCGAAATTGCTTTTATATTTGAAACTTATTTTAATTATTGAAAAAAATTCATAAATATTTGTAAACCACTGATTATTCCAGAACACAGACTTCTCGAATGCCTCTGAATTATGTGCATATCACTGGTAACATGCTCATAGTTTAAACACAAAATAGATAATGAAAAGCTATTTGTTATTTATATAGTTACCTACAGAAGATGAACCAGTTTTGCTGATATGTGGTGAAACTTATACACTGTATATTTATATATAAAGTGTGTAATCAAGCCATTAGATTCATTGAAATAAAAAAGTATCTACTTCGAATGTCACTCTTATCATTACCTTCAGCTTTGGACATGACATTACAGAATATGAAATTAGAGTAAATTGAAAAAGAAAGGCCCAAATTAAAGATAGATCTGCATATATTTTCCAGTTACCCCGAAGTACTTAAGTAACTTGAGAACTGAAATGTCTGAATTGAATTATATAACAATGTTAAATATGTAAGATGTAAGAATGTATAATAATGTTAAAGATGTGAAGTTATGAAGTAAATGAAAGTAATACTATTAATAAGTCAGATGAACGAAAGCTTAAAATATTATTCATTTCCCAAAACTGGAAAAGCAATATTAAACATAATCAAATGTTTCGGAGTATCAAAATGATTGGAATAAAAATCATAGATCACGTTTGTAATATTTCACACCTGTTTTTAAAAAATCAAATGTTGTCCGTAACATAGGTACCTGGTAATAATTGTGATGTAAATTATATTGAAACAACTCCCTCAAAATTAAATTTGATTAAACGAAAGTATAATCAGAAAGTAACATATTGAAAAAGCCCTTTTTTGACATTTTTGGAATTAACAAGAATCCAAATAGTTTAAACACAAAATAGATAGTGAAAATTCATGAAATATTTATATAGTTACCTACAGAAGATGAACCAGTTTTGCTGATATGTGGTGAAACTTATACACTGTATATTTTTATATAAAGTCTGTATTCGAGCCATTAGATTAATTGAAATAAAGAAGTATCTACTTCGAATGTCACTCTTATCATTACCTTCAGCTTTGGACATGACATTACAGATATGTTGAAAGTTTGGCATCATCAACATCTATTTTGAAATGAATCGAGCACAAAGACAGATATATCAATGAGTGATAGATCTACAGATATTCATCTTCTCTCAAGTAACTTCATAAGATCTGTTATTAAAAAATAAATAAATTCGTCCACAGGTTGAGGTGAATACCAGCTCATTTTTCTTAAAACAACAATTCATATTTTTTATCGCTCTTGGAGTGGGATAAGAAATTTTCAAGTTTTTCTTGAACGACATGGAAAACTCCATTAGGAATATTAGAGAGTTGTGATATATATTTATCTAAGGTTCATGAATTATTATATTTTGAAATTTCGAGTAATAGTTGTGGTAAAGGGTGAGAATTGCTTTGCACTATCATCAGGGCCGAAATAAAAAAATAATAATTTACTTAGTGGTCATCGAATTGCCAAAACTCTTAGTACTATCAGTAGCATTGTGATTGTTAGCCATAGCCAAAGAAAAAATTTGAAATTGAGAACTAAAGAGGATAAAACAAAAAAATAAATTTGAAATTTTCAGTTTCTTAGCCAACTTGTGATGCACTGTTTGGAACCTCTGGTGTAGTAATGAATATTACTGGAGTTTTCTCCCAACACCAAATCGTTATTTTCAACATCTCAACACGTGTTTCGATCACCAAGTGATCATCTTCAAGAGAAAGACTAAACTCCTCTTGAAGATGCTCACTTGGTGATCGAAACACGTGTCAAGGTGTTAAAAATAACGATTTGGTGTTGGGAAAAAACTCCAGTAATATTCTTAGACAAGGAAAGTCAAAACATGTCCTATTCATTACCTCTTCTGTAATAATCCAAGGTAATTTTGGAAGACAGCTGAGGACCTCTTCTGAAAACTGGCTATGAGGTACATCATGCTCCAACAGCACAACTTCATTCTCAGTATTTTGGTCACCAATTTTACCCAGAGCTCTTACAAAGTGCCCCTAAAAATATTCTCATATTATCTTGTAAAAAAGAGATTTCATACATACATGGGGATACCTAGAATGTCTTGGCCACGAATCGATAGCTACTATAAGTTTTTGTGTCCTTAGAAATTCGGCCTGCCTTGTTTCTATTCTTATTTTTGGAATACTTTTATCAGCAGGTATAAATAATTGGAAAACACCATCCATACCACCTTGTAGTATACCACAGTACTAAAAATACATTTAAAATTCATAACTAATATCAGGCTTGTTGTTATTTAACATACTTGTCTCCATTTCCTCCTGATTATACCAACAACTCTACCAGTGGGTTTTATCTCCCCCTTCTTTTTGTGGGTGGATTTTTTTAATTCTTGTTCTTTTATTTCCACCTCATCGATATTTTCTTCTGCCACTCCCTCATCTTCAAGAACTATTTCACTGGGTGATATCCAATCTTGCTCTGCAAACAGTTCTACAACCACTATATCACCATCAACGGCGCGATTCAAACCCGACCGTCCTTGAACAAGAACCTGCAATCAAATATGTTATGGCGACTCATTTCTTGATATCAGGATTAGAGAAAAAACTGCTGCAAGTGCAGATAGATGCAAACTAGCCAACATTTGAAACAAATATGAACTTTTATAAGACATACAAATAAAAGAAACATTTTAACATTCAATCCCTTTTTGATGTTCCAATGTTTTTGAATATATCTAGCATTAGCAAACAAAGAATGGTTTAATGTAACTTTATTTTTTTCTGTGTATACAATTTGTCTTTACCTGCATCTTTCTTTTCTTTGATGATATTATCTGTGATGCACTGTTTGGAACCTTTGGTGTAGTAATGAATATTACTGGAGTTTTTTCCCAACAACAAACCGTTACTCTTCCTCTTGAAGATGATCACTTGGAAGAACAAACTCTTCCTCTTGACGATGATCACTTGGTGATCAAAAAACGTGTCAAAGTGTTAAAATAACTATTTGGTGTTAGAAAAAAACTCCAGTAATATTGATGATATTATTATTAGTCGATTTTACAATTCTGGTCATACAACAAAGTTGCAAAAAAAGCATTAAAGTTATTTTCAGTTAATTAAAACCGAATCAACTGTGTAGAATATGAATACCTCGTTCTTGTGGCCCTATTTCATTTATCCATCTAGTAGAATTTTAGTTACTAGTACGTAAAACTCCATCTTTCGCTTTTTACAAACTATGAACCCAAATCAACCAGTGGCGTAGTTTTTCAAGGGCAATATGGCCGCTACTGTGGCAAATGTGATGGGAATATAATGTCTAGCAACAAAAATCGTAAACTAACATGTGGATTATGCAATAATCATTTGCATACATTTTTTCAAGTATATCTCTTACTGATTCACACTGCATGGTGTTGAACATTAAAACACATATTTTTTGTGGCACCATTGGTTCGTGTACATTTACCTTAATTTAGATGCCTTAAAATTATATGAAATTATTTGACAAGGAATCGATATATTTGTTCCTACAAACCTTCCTAGATGGTTCTCACCCGAATTGAAACAATAGATAATAATGAAAAAACAATATCATAATGAATTCAAGAAATTTCACAATAATGATGACTAAATTTTTACTCAACTAAGATCTCACTGGAAGGGCTCTTACAAAAGCTTGCTATGAATGTTACCTTAACAATATTGAATTAAGCCTGTATTTCAACACTAAATATTCTTCATTCAATTTTCCATAATAACGATTTATCCACTGATGTAAAACTGTTTGCTGACTATTTCTCAATGGTGTATGTTGAACAAAACGTAGTCCCCAATAACAGTTTTCATTATGACATGACTACAAATTTTTCCACATGCGATTTTGAACTGTCAAGTACTTTCAAAGCTATTTGTGAAATGAAAACGAATTTTTCTTTGGAAGTCCTGGAGGCATTTCCTTTTTCTTTCATTCAACAAGTCATTAACCTGTGGAAAATTCCCTGATTTATGTAAATATAGCTTTATATTTCCACTTTATAAAAGCGGTCCCAAAGAAAGAGTTGATAACTATAGAGATGTACCAACATCCTTGTTGATGCCCTAACCACTGAAAAATTCATAAATATTTGTAAACCACTGATTATTCCAGAACACAGACTTCTCGAATGCCTCTGAATTATGTGCATATCACTGGTAACATGCTCAAATGGTTTACTAGTTACTCATTTTGTCGTTTTCCATAGAGAACATAGTTTCTGAACCTATACATGTGAAATCAGGAGTGCCACGAGGATTCCATTGTGGACCACTGCTGTTCATTGACCACTGCACATTATGTTCATAATTCAAAATGTATGAAAGATGCATATCTTCTCCCAAAAGACCTGAATGGCATTGCTGATTGGTATTGTTGTGAATCATCCCATAAAAAAGATAACGCGGCCGCCGCTGGCCGTCGTAAAACAACTGTGATGTGGCCAAGGCAGCCCAGCCGGCGTTTCGCGGTTGTTTAATGTTTGCGCCGTTTCGATGGAAATCCTGAGGAATCCTACGCTACCTACGAGCATATCGATATAGTCAAGTTGAAGTAAAATTGCGGTATGCGGAGTTGAAGTTTTACTTAAAGTATTTGTATTAAAAGTGAAATAAAGTTAAGTTTGATTATTGATCAGTGCAGTCATTTATTGGGAAAATCGTGGGGAAATACGTAACAGTATGAAGATAATTGTCTGTACCTTCAAAAAAGCAAATGTTACGCAATGAATTTCAGTAGATCAGCCTCCAATTCATAAACATAATGGGTTGAAATAACATGGCACTTGTAAAAAAAGTTGAATGAAAGGAACTGGGCAGAGTACTAGAAAAAAAGCGTTTAGATTCGTTAGACCAACGAGGTATAAAAACCTATTTTATGTACCATACCATTCAAAAAACTATGGCTCTTATTCGCCAGACTCATGTATGTTAAGATTAGGCAATGTGAATTCTTTCAAAAGTCAACCGAGTCATTAAACTCTTGTGTGAATTACACTTTGTGGAATTAGTTTGAATGCTTCGTAAATTGTATTCGAGTTTTCCCAGTTGTGAATAAATAAATTATTCCAATGAAAGTAGCAATAGGAGTCTGATATGCCTAATCTACTATATATATCTCAATAGTTTCAAGCCATACCTTTACCATTAGGGGGTTAATAAAAGTCAAAAGTTTGTTGACTGATACTTTTATTCTGAAATGTTGTTGATCTGTTATATATTCATCATATTTTTTGATAACGGAATAAGTCGATCAAAAATATTCAGTTAGTTTGAAAACATAAAGAGTCTTGACACTGGTTATAATTCTCAATATATCTTGTCTGTGACAATTTCTACATCTATGGAATAAATAAATGAACTGATTTGTTTTAAAACAAAGTCCTAACAGGGAACAAGCATCCCATGTATAGCTTTTTGGATAGAAGAGAATCTCTAAAACAATCCAAACGACCGAGTTAAGAAGACATAAACATATTATTAAAACTAATACTTCAAAATGAAACAAGAAGCAACAACACTACTTCATGATTAACACTTCAAGATATTGAATTACATTAGATGTATATCGATATCCATCAGGAAATTGGTAAAGTAACTGGTAGATTCTCAGTGTTAGTATCTTCATTCAGGTTTGAAGGTTTTAGTAATTTGGAACTGCATCCTAACGTTTCACCAGCACAAGTGGCTGGCTTCTTCAGAGGTTTATTCATCTTGATGATTCACCGATGACTGGTGATTTCTAATTCGTATTTAAGTTGACTCAGGTAGTACGCCTCTCTTGTAGATGTGTGGCTATTGGCCGAAGTGTTATTACCTGTTAATGATGTATCTATTCCCGCTGTACCTGTTAGCGGGTTGTTATTGGTTACGGTATCAATACTTTACTTATTAATGAGTGAACTGTCGTCTCTAAGAGCCGTAACATTGCATTGCGCTGTTGTCACTTTAGCATCTTTGAGTATGGGATTCCAAATCCGGTTAAGCGTTACCACCTCCTCTTTTCTGTTGTAGTTCTCCGTATGTTTATGGATTTCTATGGCAAGTAGTTTCACATTTTCAAACAGTATCATGTGATCTCCTCCACTAAGCGCGTGTTCCCTACTGTGCCGATTTGTCTATTTGACCTAATCTACAGTTTCATGTTCATTCTGCCTTGTACCCACGGATGTTTTGGTGATACCGATATAAACTTTTCCGCAGGTGCATGGTACATGATATACTCCCGCAGCTGATAGTGGATCTCTTTTCGCAGATCTAAGGCTTTGTTGTATTTTCCTGGTGGGCTTGAACACTGTTTTTATTTTATGCTTCCCTAAGATTTTTCCGATTCTGTCTGTAACCCTAGGGATGTACGGTAGAAATGCACGTGCAACCGTTTGAGTTTCCTCCCTATTTTGACTTCCACAAGTCAAAATCGGAAAAATCTTAGGGAAGCATAACATAAAAACAGTGTTCAAGCCTACCAGGAAAATATAAGAAAGCCTTAGATCTGCGAAAGACAAAAGAGCACCACTATCAGCCACAGGGGTATACCGTATACCATGCACCTGCGGAAAAGCTTATATCGGTACCACCAAAAGATCCGTGAGTACTAGGCTGAATGAACATAGGAGAAACTGTAGATCAGGTCGAATAAACGAATCGGCAGTAGCGGAACACGCGCTTAGTGAAGGAGATCATACAATACTGTTTGGATATGTGAAACTACTTGCCCCCGATCATGGATACCACAGTTGGCTTGTACGGGAGGGAGGAGAGAAATCCATAAACATACAGAGAACTACAACAGAAAAGAGGAGGCGGTAACGCTTAACCGGATTTGGAGTCTCATACTCAAAGATGCTAAAGTGACTTCATCGCAATGCAATGTTACGGCTCTTAAAGACGACAGTTCACTCATTAATAAGTCAAGTATTGGTACCGTAACCAATAACAAGCCGCTAACAGGTACAGCGGGAATAGATACACCATTAACAGGTAATAACACTTCGGCTAATAGTAACACATCAACAAGAGAGGCGGACTACCTGAGTCAACGTAAATACAACCTACGAACTAGAAATCACCATTCATCGGTGAATCATCAAGATGAATAAACCTCTGAAGAAGCCAGCCACTCGTGCTGGCGAAATTTTAGGATGCAGTTCCAAACTATGACGGCCTTCAAACCCAAATGAAGATAGTAACACTGAAAACCTCGGCCGTGAAAGCCTTAATCAATTCAACTGGTAGATTGATATTTTCAGTTTTATTCGAAGTATTTCTTTGGTTAAAATATTTTCAATATTTTTTAAAACAAGATCAGTTTCATTTGAAAAATACCTACTGCATCATCCAGTGCTTCAACATTCACAAAGCCTTCTAAAAAATTATCTCTGGATGCACGAAATGTGCCTTGATACAGCTTTCCTTCTTTTACTCCATTCAAAAGTTCAGTATTGGTTAAATGAGGAGGAAAAACATCTTTGGTGTTGCTATCTATGTGAAAATCTTTTCTTGATAGTTTATCTTCAAGCAATGTTCCATTTTCTAAATGCTTCACATAGTCGTTTACTTGGAAAAATACAATAATCAATATTTATGAATATGTAAAGGTAATTATACATACTTGAGTATGAGGATATTCCTTCTTCTATAGCTATAGTTCTATTATTCACATCATCACTCAAAAATATGAATTTATCTTCGGGAACATGTGACGAATACCATGCACATGCTTTTCTAATACTCCGGTCATTATAATCATTGATCAGTTCTCCATCATTTTGTTTGATGTACGTATCTCTGAAACACAGTTTGATGGTTGATTTGCTTTTTATTTTATTTTCACTCTAAGAAAGTGGTCACAATGATAATCAATGATTGCGTTCATACGATAGGTAGATAGATAGGTCTTCGTTCAAATGGGAAAAAATTAAAAGACTTCAGGCTTTTCATTCCCTACTCGATACATAGCCGTCTTCCTTGTTACTGTAAGTAAAGGTTTATTGCAATGCTTTCATACTGTTCAACAAGTGAAATAAATATTATTATTATATACTTGCTATGAGAGCATGCTAATATTACACATATTATTTATATATACGTATCAATTGCTCAAGGCAATATCGACTGGAGTATGAATGTAATAAACAAAACAGATATTCTAAATAAAAATTATTATGTACCAAATACCTCATTTCTAACACTTGAAATAACTTTGAGAATTTGTTAAAAAAGATTAATTTCAGAAAATAAATATTTCAAATTAAAACATTCACCTCTGCAAACGTACACAGTAGGTTCTGGTAAATGTCTACCGGAAACCAACTACTTCCCTGGCTAATACTATGTTGGACAATGAATTATATCCGACATATATTTATGCAAGATACCTCACAGAGGTTGTTTTGCAGATGTTTCTTGTTCGTCCAGCAGCAAGATCACGCTGAAATCAATCGAGTAGATCGCCTAAGGGTTTCGAGGTATTACCTCTTATCAGTTCATGAAAGATCCGATCCAAACATCAGTGTGACTGGATTCGACTTCAACACAGCTCTACTGTATGTATGAAATCTTCTAAGAGAAATAATTTTAACTAGAACAATCCCCATCTCGCGAATGAAGCCCAAAATCCGGGGAAGGAACATCCCATGTAAGAGACATCAAATTAGTTCAAAGACTGCATCAACGAGAGATACACTCGTATATGAAAATAAATATTTCAAAATGAAATCTCAAAACATTCTTCTCTCCCAGCATACCTACACTATAGGTTTTGGTAAATGTCTACAGGAAAACAACTACTTTCCCGGCTAGTACCACGTTGGACATATATGCCGACAGATATATACTTCACAGAGGTTAGTTTTGCAAATTCTTCTCGTACATCAGCAGCTGGACCACGCTAAAATCAAAGCAGTAGATCACCTACAGACCAGTACAAGAAAGATCCAACTCATTCAACAGTGTGCCTGGGACTCGACTAACATCAATGCGGCTCGAAGGTTTTTTATATATATATGAAAAAATAATGCACAAAAGTAGTGAACAAATAGAGTCAACTTTTCCACCCAGTGTTCCACTATTGAACTACGGAAAGCTGACCAATGCATAGAGAACATTTACTTCTCAGAGAAGAGAATTCAAGTTAATGAAAAATAGTATTAAACATTAAGACACGATAATTGCAGATGAGGAGCAAGTAATAATACTATTGAAGGGAAAAATTAAAACCCTTGAAGAAAAATTGGCAATGAATAATGAACAACAAAATTATTCAAACATCACATCAGTAAAACAACAAAACCACGAGTATATAAAGTGAAAACCGCAAAATATTCAAATTCTTAATTCAATATTCTTAAATTCTTATTCCTATTCCTATAGTCATTATCGCAAGTGCCACTTCACATAATTTCAGTTCGTCTATATTGAAAATTATGATTGATGTGTCATTCAATTCGACTAACGGAGAGACAACTTGCCAGGCTTGTGAATTTTTAGTAGACCGTATATTTTAGGACCTGTAAGATTAGAAACCTGAGATTATCTTCCAAAATCTTGGAACAATATCTAGACGATGTATTTGTGAATTTTGATACATAGAAATCAAAGGTAGAAGACTTTGTATCAACCCTTAACAACAGATACCCAAATATTAAGTTCGCATATGGAATTGAAAACAACGAGGAGTTCCCGTTCTTGGATGTGTTGGTGATTAGAAGTAACCAAGGTCTAGAATTTTATGTCTACAAAAAGAATATCAGTACTTTTGAGATATATTCCTGAGAGCTCACACCGTTATCCACAACACAAAACAGCAGGTCTAAACTTTCTCGTCCATGGGCTTGAGTAAAGAAGAGTATGAGATGTAGATGTGTAGATAATTAGGAAATGTGAATTTAGGGGGAATCTTCTTAGATCCTCGACTTGTCAAAAAAAGATATGGATTCAAAGTTCATTATACTTCCATATGACCCCAGAATTGAAGGATTAGATGTGTTTTTTAAAAAAGTTGAAGAAAAGAAACGATTCTTTTAAATACACTATTTGCATTATTCGTCAGATTTTCCCCAAAAAAATTCCATTTTCTCATAAACGATTAATTTGTTTATAACAATTTTTAAAACAAAAATTAAAAATAATATAAACGTGTTAGGCATCACACGTTAAAAGACCTCGTTAGTCCTTAGCTCGTACAAGTTTCTCAATTTCTGAGAGTTGTCGTTCGTATGGGGGCGACAGCTGATTAACGGAAAAACAGATTTTAAACAGATTTATGTAGCGTTTACCAATAAGAAAACAAATCAATCGGAATATTTGAAAAAAATTTGTTTGACGCTATTTATACTACTGATTTTTTCAACATTTATGATTGTTCCTCCAACGGGGATCTTTTCTGAAGCCCTCAAAGAATAGTTCCAAAAAATCCCGGCTGAAAATTCAAACACTGTCGAGGTTTTCATGTTATTCTTCAATTTTGGAAAATATGTAAATTGATAAAAAAATATTTGAGAGGAAAATTACGATGATTTTTTTTGTTGATTATTGTTTATTCAACTACTCACCGAGTGCTTAATTATTTTCTAAGGCATCGCGTGCGCAAACCGAACCATATTCATCTCTCAATTTAAACTAAAAATCTCGGTGCAACAGTATTGGAAGGCAAAAATTGTTTCCGGAAATCATCTACGCGTCAAAACTCTTATTTGTTCAGTGATGTATTTACCATTCTGAAATTGCCTTTGTTTGAAAGCCATAATTCAAAAAGTAAAACGTTATCAAATAGTGCAATGAGATACATTAGTTCAGTTTTTGTTTAAACGTCCAGTTATCTTTACCTTCATTTGTTCCATCCCTGAAATGATCTTTATTCAACAAAGAGCCGGTCTACACAAACCCTAAGGTAAGAATTCTATTAATATTTCTCATTAGCAAAAAACGAACCCCATTTGTTCATTTCACTGAATTGTCTATAACTTTCAAACTACATGTTAACACATCTTGGCACAAAATCTTAAATCACTCTGTGTGAAATTACGAATCTAATAGAAAAACATGACCTCAAGCTATGCAGATGATGATGACTGATAACCTGACAGCTTTGCTAAAATTATTAAGGATTGGTTTTTGTGATCAAGCAAACTCCAAATGAGAATAAAATAAATGTTCTGCTCTTAAAAAATACGCCAAATTTTAGAAAGCGTACTGACACAAAAATCAACAACTTTTACATGTGAAATTTTTAGGGTTGCAAATAAATGATTATTAACGTTGGAATCATCATGTTAGATAAATACATAGAATTGAATTATCATGAAAAAATATCATATACAATGGATGTAGCCGTTACTACTTGGTAGGAAATCATAATGAAGAAAAGAGAATTGCAACTTTCTGTTTTTACCACTTTTATTTGTAACTAATGTTACTGCAGTTTCGTCCTATAAGGACATTTTCAAACTTATACATTAACGAAACTGCAGTAACGTTAGTTACAAATAAAAGTGGTAAAAAACATAGAAAGTTTCAATTCTCTTTTTATATTCTCCAATTATAATTATATTAACATTAAAATGTAAAAACTCTTCGACAGAGTAAAAAGTATCGTTGCTAAACTGACGTCAACATGTTACAGTTTGAGGGTTTTCTCAAATTGCATGCAGATAACCCTGTATATCTTAGTAAAATATTTGGATCACTCAATATAATTGAGGATTTTGATATGTCAGAGTGATTTTTCGTAACTTAATATACCAGAACTTTTTTGTTGACTAGTCTTATTTTGAAACTATTCCAACTCGATACTAGACGTTTTCAATTACGGTATGTAGGAGTTTTTCGAAGACGAACATTTTAGCGACCGTGACAAAACCTAGTTTGTACTGACTATGGAAATGGGTGAAAAAGATGCTACAAGCTCAGAGATTTTCGAAAGTTTGAGGAAAAGTAGGGCTATTAGATCAAAAAATTGAAATGATGATCTTGACGGACAGTTATTTGTCAACTGTTGAAAGGGATTCTTCAAGTAGGGAGATCAAGTTAGCGGAAGAAGATATGACCAAATATCATAGAAAGTGTACTGTTGAAATCGATTCATTGAACCACTCTTTCGATAAAACTGACAACATAACACCCAACATATCACAATGAAAAATATCAAATTATATTCATTACTTTTGAACAATACTATAAGTTGACAACAACTCAAAATATTCTATTTATCTCCAAGTATACGATATTAAATTATCATTGGATTCTGAAATTATTTCAGAATAGTTCAGAAAATGAAGATGAATTAATTTATGAGTATTGATATATTTGATTCTAAAGCAAATTCCAATTGATCTGTGAAATTGAAAATAAAATTACTAATAATAAAATTGATGCAGGAATAGATCCTGAAATAGTTTCACAATCCAATGAGAATTTAATGTCGTATACCTATGATAAACTGAATATTTTGGGTTGTTGTCAACTTACAGTTTTGTTCAAAAATAATGAATACAATTCGAAATTTTTCATTGTTGATAGTAATACTAGGTCTATTCTTGGTTTGCCATAAAATCGATCAAAAAAGTCGAATTTATTGATGATCGAATGATGAATGAATATAGAAATGTATTTGAAGGTGTATGCAAACTTGGTAAACCTTTTCACATTGAAATTTCTGAACATGCTGTATCTAAAATTGAACATGTCAGAATAATACCATTTGCATTATCAGGTAAAAAATTCAGTGGGATTATTTGCAGAAATCTGAAATTATAACCAAGTTATATGGACTTTCAGAATGAATCAAC